CATCAGCGATCTTGATGTTGGGGTGGAGAGCAACCTGTTTAAATTCGCTGATGACACCAAAATTTGGGGGGAGGTGAGCACGCTAGCAGGGAGAGAGAGATTGCAGAAGGATCTGGATAGGTTACAGGGGTGGGCAGACAGGAACAGGATGCGTTTCAATACGGACAAGTGCAGGGTGCTGCACTTGGGTAGTAGGAACCAGCAGCACACTTATACGATGGGGAGCTCCCTACTTGAGAGCACGGAGGCGGAAAGGGATCTTGGTGTCATTATTGACTCCAAGATGAACATGGGCCGACAATGCGAGGTCATGGTTGGCAGGGCTAACCGGACCTTGTCGTGCATCCACAGGTGCATCTCGAGTAGAGCCAGGGAGGTGATCCTCCCCCTCTATGCGACGCTGGTCAGGCCGCAGCTGGAGTATTGTGTCCAGTTCTGTGCGCCCCATTTCAGGAGGGATGTGGACAACATGGAGAGGGTCCAGAGGAGGGCCACCCGCATGATCCGGGGACAACAGGGCAGACCCTACAGTGAGAGACTGCGGGACTTGAACCTATTCAGCCTCCACAAGAGAAGGCTGAGGGGGGACCTGGTGACCGTCTATAAACTCACTAGGGGGAACCAGAAGGGTTTGGGGGAGACGCTGTTTCCCCTAGCCCCCGCTGGCATAACAAGGAGTAATGGGCACAAGTTGATGGAGAGGAGGTACAGATTGGACATCCGAAAAAACTACTTCACAGTCAGGGCGGCTAGGAGCTGGAACCAACTTCCAAGGGAGGTGGTGCTGGCCCCTACCCTGGGGATCTTTAAGAAGAGGCTGGATACTTACCTGGCTGGACTCATTTGAGTCCCGTTTTTGTTTTTAGGGTGAGTGGTTTTGTTTGTGTTTTTTGGGTTGTTCTCCCGCCCTGGCGGGGGGGCGGGCTAGAAGATCTATTAGGTCCCTTCCGACCCTGAAACTATGAAACTATGAAACCTTTGTTGTAGCTTTGGCCTTTCTGGCTTTGGCTTCTTTTTTTCAGCTGTGCCCGTCTCAGCCTAGATCCGATGTACCAGACCTTGCCTTCTGGGACCCCTGGCCCTGGCCCTGATGCTGGCCTGCCTGGGCTCAAGGCCCCCTGATCCTGGTCTTGCCCCCCCTGTGGGCTCTGGGCCCCCTAGCCCTGTCAGCTCCAGGCCATCTCTCTTGCCTCTTTCTGGCTCAGAGTTTGGCCCTCTCAGACTCAGCTATCTGCATCTTGGACTCCTACCTTTAGCAGGGCACAAACCTTGGCGTGACTCCCAGGTACCCCTGTGGTCTCCTTTTCACTCTTACAGCTGCATCTGGTCTGCCACTATCAACTAGAAAAGGCAAGCAACCACTTTATAACAAAGCCTCCCTCACTCTTGGTAGAACAAATGTTTAGCTAGCCCTTCTTCCCTTGGGCTCTCACCTCGCTACCCTCAGAGTATTTTGGTGCCTGCCAAGGAGTCTTCTACAGCCCCTCTCTACTAGGTGCTCTGTTCCTTTCAATGCACTGGGCCTGACTGCCTTCCTCCAGGTGCTGGGCTTATATGCTCTGGACCACTTCCCCTTTGAGTCAGGTGACTCCCTAGTCCCATACAGGTGTTCCGGCTTAGGTCTAATGGAAAGCCTGCTCCCCTTGTTTCATCTTAGCTCCGCTGCTTGCAGCCTTAGTCTTATGGCTGCTTGGGAATCTGCCCTATTCTTCCAGCCTACTGTTGTGCAGCTAGCCTTCTCTCAGCTGCCTGCCTACCTATGTACCCAGGCTAGCCTCATGTGTCTTCCCCTTTCTAGTAACAGGAGTCTTTGGCTCCCTGTTACAGGGCCCCTACCCAATTACTGAAGGTGAGAGGAAGTCTGGGAGCAGCTGGCTGGGTCCAACACCTGCAGGAACTAATAGGGGCAGAGGGCCATTTCATAGATGAGCCATCTGATGGGGCAGAGGGCCATTTGGTGGGGCCAGCACAGTGCAGCCAGTGATTGAGAGACCTGGACCAGAAACAGTGGGTCAGGTGGCCAAGAGAGAGACAATGTAGGAAGAAATCCCTTTTGTCTGCACCCCACCCCCAAATGTGAAGCCCCTCCATATGGCAAAAGACCCTCTTTTAGTATTTGCCCCCTTTTGGGGATGCTTTCTCTTTTCTTCCTTTCTCTTTCTTTTTCTTTTATTATATCATTATTATTTTTATATAAGGTGCATTTGTAGTGAAAATAGAGCTTGTAGATGCTTTTACAAATATACTTTAAGTTTAAAACTAAGTTGTACCATGTAACAATGTTAGCAAGAGCAGGAATCTCTTTATGGAGCTGGTCCCTGAATGAACCATGGTTGATTGTGTAACACAGTAGCTAGTCTGGATAAGCATGTTAATGAGCGGCAATTATAAACACCTACAAAATCAGAGACCAAGGAGAAGAAAGAATCAATAAAGAGCCAAGAATTCCCGGAACCTTCATTGTTAAAGGTACAGAAACCTCCATTTGAACTAATCAATGCTGGAAACAGACCCTGGGGATGAAATACCCCCTGATCAACCACTTCCAGAGCTCTATTCATCACGGCAGTGAATCAATCAAAATTTATCAATGGACTCCTGAGACTGCACATATGTGCAGACGTGACCCCTGGGGCTGACAGCTAGCATCCAGCAGCTACCAAGAGGGACATCCCTTGAGGTCAACGACCCCTGGATTGGTTAAGCTCAAGCATTGGGCAGTCACCAAAGTGCGGGATAAAAGGCAGTGGGATAAAAGGCAGTGAAGAATGACCCCCAATGGTGCCCTCTTTGACCCGACCAGCACCCTGCCTGCCCAGCCAGAAGGACCAGCCAGTGACCCCCTTCTGAAGCAACATCGCATTGAAAGAAGCCTCGACTGGCCATCGACAGCAGACTCCAGCGCTTGGGGATAGGTACGTCTTGACACCAGTGGTTAGTGTTCAGAGCTAGCTACTTTGAGAGTGTGTGTGTGTGTGTGTGTGTGTGTGTGTGTGTGTGTGTGTGTGAGCGCACATGCATGAATGTGTGTGTTTGAGGGGATCAGCACCAAGGTTTATGATCTGACTTCTGCATCTGTCCAATAAACTAGAATTTTATAATGATCCTGTGAGTTGGTGCTTTGTAGCCAACAACATATAAGCCCAGGGCCTGAGTCAAGGGGAGCAGTTGGTTTCTGAAGGTTGTAATAAGCAGAGCTCTGAGCTGGAAAGGGGCCTGACTGGCCAATGAGGAAAGACTCCAGACTGTAGGAGAGCTGCAAAGAAGCCCCTGCACCACTAGGCACCAGAAGATAAGCCACCTGGTGCCTTGTATTCTTATCTTTTCACTTGGATTTCATACCAGATGACCATATCATGGTTCTAGGAGTCAAGAAGATCACTGAGAAGGGTGCCAGGGGCACCCTGGGTCCCAAACCCTGCAAGGGGGTTGGGACAAGCAGTACAGGGCCTAAGGCTGAGAGGATCAAGGCCCAGTTGTGGACTCTCAGAAACTAGGAGGCTGCAAGCAGCTCCTGAGGCCAGTTCTGCTATTAGCCAGGCCATAGGGCCCAGAGCCTGTGAGGACAAGCCTGGCGGGGAGGAGGGGGCAAGGGGTCCAGAGCCTTTGAGGGCATGGCTAGAGCTGGGACCCAGGAGCTGAGAGTTCTGTGACAGTGGACTTCAGGTGGAGGGGTCCAGCCAGAGTAGTGGGCCAAGGCTAGGGGGACTGATCCCAGACAAGGGCCTAAGAGCTTAAGCAAACCCCTTTGCACTCAAGTGGCAGCCTTCCTGTTCAATACTACCATCAAGGCATGGCAAGAAAGATGACAGGGTGGGACCTTGGGAGGCCAGAAGGGATAAGCAAGGTGGGACCCAGGCAGCTGCTAGTGGGTGACTTGGCCGCCCCAAGGCTGGACTTGCTACAGGACTTCATATCAATTTAAACCGGCTTATATCTTTTAATTTGTGCGTAAAAATGTCCACATATTATTAAACCCCCTCCCTCCACAAAAAAATCCTGAAAACCAAAAATACCTGTACCAATTTAACCAAAACAATTAAACAAAACTAGTGCAACTTCTGTGTTTAGATGTATAATAAGCAGGAGTGGTTGAAATATATTCTTCATCAGATTCTTGATCAAAAGGATGTAAATCAAGTCTGTCACATACAAAATGCCTAGCAACCAACAACAAGAACTGTTTAAGGAATGTTAAGGTGACTGACTTTTAGTCAGGCCTTTTGATATTTTTTACACTTGAGAGAGAACAGTTTCACTTCCTATACCATCTGTGCAAGATGAAGTTTCAACCAAAAAATATGTGCAAAATGTATAAATAGGAATTGTGGAGAGAACTGCCTTTCCCATTCCTAAGTGGGAGGGATATTCGGGAAGGTGGGACAGTTTGGAGGAAGGAGGGCAGGCACTAATGATGAGCAATGCTCTCTTGTGATAACAAGCGATAATATCCTACATCTATTCTCACAGATTGCAACAGTAGCCCCTGGAGACTGCTGGCAGATTTGCAATAACAAGAAATCGCAGGGAGCCTTCTGAAATATTGCAAAATTGTACAACTGATGGTAATTTTGTAAGCATTAGTAAAACCCTGGGATCAAGATCAGGCTTATAATGGGAAGCGAGTCTCAGCCCAACTAGGGAGGAACTGTCTCTCCATAATAAATTATTTGAAATATTCACAGCACTTGTATTTTATAGCTATAACACTATATTATTGGAGTCATATGTTTGCTGCGTTCTTCCCTGTCATGAGCAGTGTTTTCACTTGTAAGTTATGTCCCACTGAATGAGGCATAAATTAAAGAACTTTTTCAGTGTAATATGAAGAACTATGGTGCCAATTTCTTAATGTATCATGTATAAGAATACCAAAAGGGTTCGACTGCGTCTTAATGAGCAACTCAATCACTGACATGCCAGCTGGATCTACCCTGAAGTGAATAAGAGCTGAAGGAGATAAAAGTGCTACTCCAGGTTCAAGCATTATAGGTACTCACCATAAAGGATAGTTCCATTTAAAGCAGTTGTTTTCACTGTCAAATATATAGTTATAATTCTGTTTTGTTCCTGCCCAGATTCAATCTTGGTCTCGGATACAGATGTTAGGGAAGGCAATTCTAAATAGGCATCCCCATTGAAAGATGGAAAAAACAGTGCTGTATCTGCAATGGAAAACAGAAAAATAATAATATAGAAATAAAATGTAACTCAATCAGCAAGGCATAGGATTGACTTTTCATGCTAGGTATTTATGGCTAATATTTGAGGATAAATAAACTACTATACTACTTGTGAGACACATGACTATGAAACAGTAAAAAAATATTATTACTATTACCTTTTCCTTTTTTAAGAAATAGGGGACAGAATCAGTGAAAGTCAATTAATGTGGAAAGTATAATAAGAGATCCAGCCTTGCTGCTGTTTGAGAAGACATGCTACTTTGTATAAACCTTAGATCTCTTACATGCTGATGAAAACTGGATTTCGCACATACAAAATCCACTCAAAACACAGTTCTGAATAGATTTTCTAAATGAAAGCACATGAGGGGAAAATTATTGTGAAGAAAATACATTTGCTTTTTTATTATTGTTTTAATTATCATTAACTTTTGTATATTAGCTTATAAGTGGCACAATGGTTTCATCCTCATAAAATGAAGCAGAACTAACTGGGGCTCGGTATAGTATTTTTCAGATGCTTTAAGTATCCTAGTCTAAGAATGAATACACTCATCTCCAGAAATCCAAATGAGGAACAAAGGTACAGACTGAGTTAGTAAGTGTTTAGAGGGATATTGTAGCTGTGATGGTAAAGAAAATATGAGAGGCAAGGGCTGTTTTTTTTTGGAGCGATATCTTTAATTGGACAAACCGTAGAGGTGGAAGAGATCTTAGGCAAGCTTTTGGATACAAGGTACCCAAAACCATCAGGATGCTCTGCCAGGACCTGAGGAAGGGTACCTTTTGTCCAGAAGTTTGCTTAAGATCTCTCCTAACTATACAGTTGACACAATAAAAGATATCACTCCAAAAAACCCTGCCTCCTAGATAATAAGGAAATAGTTAATAAAGTTCACTCAGCCATACAACAATCCTTTTGACAAATAGGTATATCTTGACTTCTGACTAGTGATAGTGTTCTTTCTTTAGAACTTTTATGCACACCCTGAATACCTATGCTCATTGCCAAATTGCTTACCACAGGGCGCTTAAGGAGTCTGGCCTGATATGATCCTTTAGTACTTTTTACTAGGCTTGTAAGGAGAACAAAGCCAGTGATATGTTTCAAAATTTAAATAAAGGAAACAAGGAAGAAAACATTCTTTGAAGGTCTCAAAAACAGCTATGACATGGGTGTAAGTAAAACAAATGAAAGACAAGGCTAATCCTTCAGGAGAGGAATAAGGAAGAGTCATAAAAAGGCTCAAAAAGTCATAGGCAAACAGTTCCTTCCAGATTTGTTGGGTCTATCGAGCTGAGCTCATCTACTTAAGGGAGTTGGAGCTTGCTGGTCTTCTATAGGCAGGCTCTGTGCAAATAATGCCATGACAGATGAAAAGGGCTTGGCTCAACAATAGCATTCTTATTCCTAAGTGAATTGCTTCCACAAAGCATCACTGTGGCACAGCAGCATATGTAAGCCAAGCTTTACAAGACAGTTTTAATGATTAACATGCCAATACTTATTTCTAATATTGAAATTTCCCATGGTTGGTTTTTGTTTTAATGCAAATATTTTAGATAAGCATCTTCTTTAGAATTTCTATTTGGTTTACTAAATGTAAAAGGAATCTATTTTTCATATTGTTAAGAAAAATAATATTAGTCATACCTCAACATCAGCAGAATTGACTAACCTATGAAACTTTCCACCACAATAGTTCCCATACAAAGGATGTATGAAGTGAAGTTAAGCTTACTTTGCAGTTGATAACTCAACTTTTCCATTTCCTGACTTATTGTGATTTTTAACTCTAAAAACCCATTCATACCTCTACTTTATTTTCCAAAAAAGCAAGAATAAATATATAATCTGCCCCAGGGATGCAGGGTTGACTAAGGGGGAAGCCTCGTCCAGAGGCAGGCCCCAGTCAAAAGTAAAAGAAGAAAAAATCCTACCTGTTGCAGGGACCCAGAGAAGTGAGGAGGCACACCAGGGAAAATCGCCCAAGTGGTTTGTCAGCTGCGCCTATCTCCAGCTGGGGCCGGGTGACATCACGAAGAGACGTCACCTGGTGAAGTTAAAAACTGGCCCTGGGAGCACAGGTAGGGGTGCCAAGGGGAGGAGGGGTGGCAGGGAACCGCTGAGTGGAACACGTCCCGCCACCATGGGCAGCATTGTCAGCGGCAGCGGGAGCTGAGGAGGATCTCCATGCCAGGGAAGACCGGCGAAGACCAAAGGAGCTGGCAGTGAAGCCTGCACTGGCAGCAGAGCTGGCACCAGCAGTGAAGCCGGCAGTGGCAGCTGCAGTGGATCTCTGTGCTGGGGAAGACCAGCGAAGATCAAAAGTACCAGCAGTGGAGCTTGCGCCGGCAGTGGGGCCGGCACCGGCAACAAAGCCGGCAGTGGCAGCTGTAGAGGATTTCTGTGCCGGGGAAGACTGGCGAAGATCAAAGGCGTTGGCAGTGGAGCCGGCACCGGCAGTGAGAAGAGCCAGTGAGGGAGCTCCGATTGGAGGTGGCAGGTGCCGTGACCTTAAGGGAGACATGGATCCCAGAGGGGATAAGAGAGACCCCAGCCAGGGTGAAGGCCTGGGCCCTGGCCCAGGGGAAGCGCCGGATTTAAGGCATTAGGGGCGAAGGGGGCACAGGACTCTCCCCTGCGGTTGTCCCTCTTTGCTTTTCTTTCTTGTCTCTTCCTCCCATGTTTCTTGTTATTTCCTTTATTTTGTTTTTCTCACATTGGGTTGTTCCCTGGGCGTGGGGCTTCTCTGGTGGTGAGTGTTCGGTTCCTGTTTTTCCTTCTTAGTTAGATCCATTCTGTTGCCTGCTGAGAGCAGGGGAGCCTAGCACACTGCACCAGACTTGGGGAGTCAGAGACCCCATTTGGAGATGGAGGACCAGGTGAGAACATGGTGGCAATCAACAGCATCCATCGTGGAATGCTCAGGGCATCTGTCCCCAAAGGCAGAGCATCACCGGACCCTCCAGTTCTGGCTAGAGCCCAAGGCGCTGGTCTGCGGAGGAGGACAAATAGGTACCGGGGAAGACATCAAAAGGGGCCAGTCGTAAAAGATCCTGAGGCTCATCCCATAGGTTGGTGTGTGGCCGGGGTGTAGGGGAGGTTGGAGCCCTGTAGGCATCCATCAAGACACGTGACAACTCTGGAGGCATCCTCTGAGGGGACCCCCTCCACTGGAGAACCATCTGAAGTCATGGCGGGTGAGTTTGGGTCTACATGAAAGCCCTAGGCTAGGAAGACAAGTTGCCCGGGCAAAGGCGGCGTGGGACCGGGCCATCGAGGGGAGACGGGCACGTAATCCTTAGCATATAGGACAATCATGTTTGATATAAAATGCAATAACATGTTATCAGGTAAGGTGAAAGGCTGTTAAAGTATGCAAAAGTCACAAGCTTTTTCCTAAATTCTATAGATCTATTTTATTAGAGGCACTGCTTAAAATAAGTCAAGCAAGCCTTGGGTTATTTAATCTAGAACAGAGGTGGCCAAACCGTGACTCGGGAGCCACTTGCGGCTCACTGGCACGGTATGTGCGGCTCACCGAAAATTGCCTGAAGCCCCACCCACTCCTCCCAGGACTGCCAACTCAGGTGCCAGGCTGCCAGGCTAGGGGCTGCAGTCATGCTGCTTATCCTGTGGTGCGTTCCTTGCAGAAAATCTTGATCAGCTCTCGGTTGCTCAGCATCCCCTGCTCTGCTCTCCAGCTCCACTCTAGGTTGCTCAGCACCCTTCCTCCCCTCCACCTCTCCCCCTGCCAAGCTCTCTGGCTCTTGAACTTCCACAGAGGATCAGATGTGGCTCCCAGGGTAAGTAACTCTGGCCACCCCTGATCTAGAACATTACATTAAGCTGTGCTTCCCTGTTAAAACCTAATTAAGAATATTTGCTTTGTGATACTAACATGCAATTAATAAAGTAGCTATCTGGCAAACACTTCAACTACTTAACTATTTGGTTGGTTATGTTGACAAAGTAGACTATGTTGCTCACTACAATATTATGTTGTCAGAACTGTGCACTTAAAGCTTTCCTGTGATGACAGAATGACAGAATCCCCCTTTCTTATGGCAGAGTTGCTCCACCTCTGCCAAGTGAAGGAAGGAATCTGAACTATCCAGCAGATGACTCAGTGGGCTTGCACATCCACTACTTTTCAGGTTACCAAGGTAAGGTGCACCACATGCAGCTTAGATGCTATATTCTAGACATTTTGGTAGTCAGCAGTTCAGTTTTTAGTATGGCTGGGTTTTTCTAGTAGGATCAAATTCAAACTCTTATGAATCCTCTTTCATAATTGAAGTTAACGAGTTGAGGAGATTAGTGGGAGAGGCACTGGGGTTCTCCAGGGCAGGGGAACTCAGTGCCCAAGATGAGTGGTCGTTCCTTAAGGAGACGATACTCAGGGCACAAGGGGTGATGATCCCAACAAGAAGCAAAGGGGGCAAGAGTGCCCAAAAGCCCCCCTGGGGAATGCCTGGTTGCCAAAAAGGCTGTGTACACCCAGTGGAAGTGGGGGGTTATCTCCAAAGAGGCATATACCTCCACTGCTCAGGCCTGTAGTGGACTGTTAGGAAAGCTAAGGCGGACATAGAGCTAGGACTAGCGTCCAAGATCAAAGATAATAAAAAGTCCTTTTTCAAATATATAGGGAGGATGAAGAAGGCACCAGGAAATGTGGGGCCCCTGCAAGATATGCTGGGCAATCTGGTGGTTGCGCCAGAGGAGAAGGCAGACCTCTTTAACAAATTCTTCACCTCCATTTTCTTGTGCAGGGACCGGGACTCCCCCACCATGATTGAAGACGGACTCAAGGGGAACGCCTCCAGACCTAAGGTTGGGGAGGACCGGGTTAGAGTGCTTCTGGAGGGACTGGACGTGTTCAGATCAGCAGGTCCAGATGCTCTCCACCCCCGGGTATTGAGGGAGCTAGCAGGGGTTATTGCAGGGCCCTTAGCACGGCTTTACAAGCACTTGT